TTGAACCCTACCAGTGATCCAATGATACTAACCCTTCCCCATCTCTTTCCAGGACCACAGATCACACATAATCTTTCTCTCATTTTAGATATCTCTGTAGGCCTCTCTTCTCTCTATACAATCTCTCCCTTGGAGATCTGATCACCTCCCATATCTTGAATTACTGCCACTATGCAGATGATTCCCAAATGGGAATCTCCAGCTCCAAATGTTAGCACAATCGTGGAGACAGAGCATTTGATCATTGGAGACAGGAAGTAGCAGTTGCTGCCAGTGGTATTCATTGGCCTTCCCCTCCGAGGCTTCCTTTACCATCAGGGAGAAGGCCAGATTTCTTTTGTTGTTCAGTCTGGGATATTAACTGCAAAGGCTGTTATTAAGAAAAGGGAGAGTAAGGAAGCCAGCTAAGATCAATTTCTTCCAAAGAAGCAAACATCTGGATTTCCTGGATGGTTTTTCCTATGTCTGGGTCTGTGCCCCAGATATCTCTGAGGAAATTTTGTGTGTCAAAATGTACTGCAAGTTGCCTTAAGTTTTATTTGTAGAGAACACTGAAATGTCAGGCAATGCTGACTCTGTTACAAGCTCAGTGAAAAATGCATCCTTGAGCATTTTGAGCCCTTTCGTACTCTCTTGGGTGTATCTATGTCAGAGGATACAGGGCCCTGACACTGATTTGAGAGTAGGAATGAACTATACTTCCGGCATTTCCAGTAGTTTGTGGGATATCTATTCCTGGATTTCTCACTAGCACTTCAAATTGTATCTATCCAAACTGAACTCATCATCTTTCCCCAGACAGTCTGCTTCTCTTGCTTCCCCATTTGTATTGATAACATTACTATCCTTACTTCACCTGAGATTTCTACAATATCTTCTAATATTCTCTCTCTCCTATCACTCATTTAAAATAAACTGCCAAGTATTACCTGACTCTCTGGGCTTCTCCTCCAATCTCCTAGCAGCCTTCTCACCTAATAAGTTGCCTCTACCTCTGTGGCCTTCTTGAACTGGAAGATCATTCCCCTCCTATAGTTCTACCCTTCATAAATTCTTCCTGGAACATTTTGAGGAAGTTCCCAGGCCAGCAATATATACACTCCTTGACTCCTCTCAATCAATCAATCAATAAATATTTATTAAGTGACTACTATGTGCCAAACTTCTCCTCCATGACCCCACACAAGGGTACCTCCTCCTTGTGGGGAAAATACTTTATTTTATCAATATTGTTTGAACTTAGCTTTAGGTGGCAAGATGCTATTTAAGTCCAGAATGTTACTGGCCTCAGAGACCCTCCAGAGAAGCTGAAGACTGCTGCAAGATATATTCAGATCCTACCCAGGTCTTATCTTGGGTCCAACCAAGATGCTTCTGTTTTGGGCCTGCCCAACAGTTTTTGGCTTGTCCCAAAATTTTATGGAGTATTTATACTTACCAGATGACAAACACATCAAGAAAATCTCTTCCTTTTTTTTTTTTTGGCTAGGCAATGGGGTTAAGTGATTTGCCCAGGGTCACACAGCTAGTAAAGGTCAAGTGTCTCAGGCTGGATTTCAACTCAGGTCCTCCTGCCTCCAGGGCCAGTGCTCATCCACTGCACCACCCAGCTGCCCCAAGCAATGTCTTCTATATGCTGGCTATCTAACTGCTTGTCCTCACACCCTTGTTTGAACTCTATACTATGTAAACCTCACAGAAACTCAGAAGGAGTCATACCTTTTTCTGGCTCTCTCCTCTGTTGAACCAACTTAATAAAATTCTTTCTAAAACTCTTTTAGGTTTTGGGTCTTGTTCTCAACCAATAATTTATGTCAGAAATGGGATTCCTGATGGGCAACCTAGGTAAATGCAAAGGTTCTCTGATACCATCAAAGCTGAGTAAGTCTCTGTAACTTCTGGATCGAGTAAGGGCAGACCAAACAATATGGAATCAAATTGAACACAGGAAGAACCTGGTGGCTACCCAGACTGGTACTTGAGTGATCTAAAAACTAGACTGACTGCCCTTATCCTTGGATTAACAGTTCTCTGTGAGTACCTGGAAGTTCAGGCCACATACAGTCAAGTAAAGCTAGGGGGCTGTGTTTAGGCTTGGCTCAGGGACTGATGCAGGCTTGAAGCAGCCAAACTGTCCTGATTCACAATTTAGTACTCCCCTTGGATGGACCACCCAAGGGTTTGGTGAATAGTGCTACAATTGGTTAAGAATTTGGCCAGTCCTTCAGCAGAGCTTTCTCTCTTTTTCTTTCTCTTCTTGTATTTCTCCCCTCAACCCTCCCATGATACCTTATCTGAGACTGGTCAGTAGCCACACCAATATCCTGGTGAATAAGGCACCATGATCATAGTACTCAAAAGCAAGAACCACTACTGGTTAAACCTCATAACCTGTTGGGAAGCAACCATATCTATCAGATATCTGTGAAGCTGATTGAGCAACTCTGATGAGCTAGTTGAACTGGTGACCAACCGCCTAACCCCAGACTTTCCAGTTCTCTTTTATGCATTGTCTTTCCCAAATGGAATGTAGTCTCCTTGAGAGGAGAGACTGCATTTGTATTCCCAGTGGTTAGTGCAGTGTTTGGCACACAGTAAGCCCTTAATAAATGCTTGCTGATACTTGTTGACTACAACAAAATGATAACTACAATAATATGAATTGGAAGAGCAACACCAACAAAAACCCATGGAACTGAATGCTGTGTAATTATAATGACTCTAAAGAAGAAATGAGAAAATGCCTCTCTCTCACTTCTTTGCAGGGATGGGAGACTATGAGTTTGAAACGCTGAATGCACTGTTAGACTCAGGTCATTGGTTTTGCTGAACTACTTTTTCTTTTCTCTTTCTTTTTGATTTTTGTAACAAGGGACTGCTCTCTGGGTGGTGGGGGGGCAGAAAAGTATTTGAAAATAAAAACAAATCAAAATTAAATTTTTTGGAAAGAAAAATAGTGTCAGTTCTGGCTGTCTCTAGGATTACCTTCAAGTTAGTGAATATGTAATTCTACTGAAATACTGAAAATATGCAATTAAAATAGCCAAAAGCAATACCACTTTAATGCAATTCATCTAAAAAACAGAATAATTACTCCAAACAGGAATTTTTTTTTTAATGTTGAGGCTTAAAGAAAGCAAATTGAGAGAAACAGAAAAAAGAGGTAAACATAATAGACAGAATATATTCTGAAAGAAACTTATGAGTATCTTTTCAGGTTTAGACACCACCTTATTGGTTCTACATTCTAATTTCATACTAAAACTTAGGGCTTCTTTTTTCACTGAAGCAGGCATATCCATACCACTGCTTTTATAAGTATTGGCCATGATTAAGGTTTTCTTTTTGATTCACAAATGGAATGAAGAGAGCTTCTCAAGGTAATATGGCAAAAGTCTGAAAATGGAGGAAGAATAAAGGAGATTTAAAATGATGAGTTAATGTTCTCAGAAGAAAGACTGCCTAGGGAACAATTCTCTAAGCTATGAACAATGAAAGAGGAGTACAGCGGACAAGATTTTCTTGGAGGGGAAGAAAGGAGGTGGTGGGGGAAGAGAAATTGGGAAAGAGTTTTCTCAAGCCACCAGGTGGCACCATTGGTCCAGGACAACTTGTTTGCTACATAAGGCAGCTCTGAAGGTGACTGGACTCTGTGTGAAAAACAGGTTAAGTATCCTTAATTCAGAGAGTGCCTGAACATATTTTATGAAATACATAATTATGACAAATCTCTCCTAGCATATATTGATACTTCTTCTCACTTTAGCATATTATAATTTTTTTCATCATTTGTGTACACGTCTTAGCTCTCCCATTAGACTCCACAACTCACTGAGGACTGACACTGTCTTATTTCATTTTTAAAACTCTTCTTTGGATGAGACACATCTTTTACATGGTAGGCATTTAATACTTGTTTGAATTTAAAAATTACAGTGAATCTTGGCTATATGGAAAGCAAATCTGGGTCACTTAGGACCCACCCTTAGGTCACTTAGGTCATCTTAGGTCACTGGGACTCTTACCTAAACCTAATTCCCCAAGTACTCTAAATTTGTGGAAATGCCCAACTCAGCAACTCACCTTCCCTAGGAGAGCCACCAGCCTCCATTTTGTTTTTTGCTGCATCAGCTTAACCCAACTTTTCTACACTAAACATTCTATGTACTGGGTAAGATACAACAATCAGGACTGCTAAATCTTCTCTTCCCAAAGTGGCAGATTCCATCCATAATTCTGGTAAATTTTCTTTTACTTCTATTAATAAAATGCAAATTTTTTTTCTAAAATATCAAATTAAAGTTTCCAGGCTTAGCAAAGAACAGCAGCTACCCTATTCATTGCTACCTCTTTTCATTTCAGTTTCAGTAAATACCTGAACTTTCCCTTCCAATATTTCTTTGCCAAACTCTTTCTTATCCTGAAACTTTCTCTTTCTGGACTATAAGCCCTATGAGGGCAGAAACCTATAAGGGCAGGAACCTGCGTCTCATCTAAATGTTGTATCATGCCCAGAGACCAGAACAATGCAGGTGCCTGATATTTGTCTCCTGAATTTCACATACTTCTTCTTTGTGCTAAGAGAGGTTCAACCCCTTGCCATGCTCCGAAAATAACAAAGTAAAGTTTAGCTTTAAATTTTCATTTTCATGAAAGGAGAAAATTGGATGGTATTTATAGTTGTCATCCCCGTGCCCCTAGAAAGCAAATCTATGGGTAAAACTTCATTGTAATTATGGGTCTTAAGACATCACAGATGCCAATGAATACAGATGGTAATTTCATAAATAAGGCATATGTAGAGATGTAAAGAATGCAGTTCTGTTAATATAAAAGGTTAATCACACACAAAACAGTAATAAAGGCAGCATCTCTGTGAACTCAACACAATATTATTTTTCAAAATCTACATGGCAAAACCAGTGACAGCTGAACATTATTATGATAAACTTGGTAACATTTGTGCTTGTAGCAACAACACAGGTTGTGTTTACAAATACCTTGTGTAGCAGATGGAGGTAGCCTGGGGATATTATCCAACTTTTCCCAGAGATAGGTTGGCCGGGGAATACCTTCTTCTGAACTACAGATCAGTATGACATCACTACCTATGTCCTGGGATCCTTGAATGCGACAGAGTGGGACAGAAGGGGGAACTGCAAAAGGAAAAAAACTTGGGATTAAGTATCCTCTAACTCACAGCGAAGTGATAACCAACAAAATATCTCCTAATTAAGCATGTGCCCTGGAACTTCATGGTAATATGCCTGATGCCACACTATGGAAATGATCACCTTCCAGGTAAGACTGCCTTACAACAAGGTTGTAAGACCACAAAGGCAGAGCCGGAAGAAACCTCAGGTGCCACATAGTCCTACTCTTCATTTTACAGATTTCCATCTGTAACTGAGGTCCAAGGAAGTTAAATTTGGCAGCTAAGTGGCACAGAAAAGAGAGCACTGGACCTGAAGACCTGACTTCAAATCCAGCCTCAGACATTTACTGGTTGGGTGACCCCAGGAAAGTCAATTTACTGCTGTTTGCCTCAGTTTCTTCATCTCTAAAATGGGGATAATAATCTACCTCTAAGACTGTTGTGAAGATCAAATGAGATAATATTTATATATTTTTAAAGCACTTAGCTCAGTGTCTGGCACATAGTAAGTGCTACAGAAATGTTAGCTATCATCATCATCATCATCATCATCATCATCATCATCAGACTTGCTCAAGGTCACATAGGTAGTAAGTATTAGAGGTGATTTATGAATCTAGTTCCTCTGACTTTAGAATTAATTAGTGTTCTTTCCAAAGTACAAATGCCTCCTTGTGGTACTTTCCAAATTAAACCCTCTTGCATGGGATTTTAAGGTGGATTTGCCTTATAATTAATTCTTCTCAGACTAGTTAACAGTCCTATAATCAGAACCAAGTGTATTTATTTGCTACCAACAACATGCTAGGTATTTTATGAACATTAAGATGAAAATTTTAAGTTAAAGGTTTTCAATCTAAAGTAATTAACAAAGTACAGGTGACACAAAGAAAACAAAAGAGAATATTTAGAGAGAAAGGTAAGAAATGACAACCATAGAATAGGGTTATTAGATGTATCTCCCAAGTCAGAGAGAGCAAGGCAATACTGTTCCAAGTCCAATTAATGATCACACAGCTCTACTGGCTTTTCAACAACTCTTATTGCCTCTTCTTTCAAACACCAAGTGTTCCCCTATTTTTCATCTCCCAAGTTTGTGTCCCTGGTCTTGTGAAAGACTAAGAAAGTGTGTAGATAACCAGGTATAACTCAACACCACTAATGGAAAAACAACTCTGAGCACAAATGTACTGCCTATGTCACCTTAATAGATGCAGCATGGCATATAACTACATGAGAGCTGCCACATCTTCTATGGGTTTACGTCACCTTATTTATTTACACATTTCTTAAACATAAAGGAAGAGAGGACAACAGGAGGTTGGGCTGAGGTGGGAAAGGGGTAGATAACTTCTAGTTGAGAGATGGGCTCAGTGATACGACTTCAAAGCATGGTGATGTGTTCTTTTTAAAATGTGCATAATTCTCAATTTCATAAGTATTTTGTTAATTTGGGGGGGAAACCGTCATAATTCTACTTGAGGATTGAGGGGAAAGCAGCATAGGATAGAGGAAGGAATACTGGATTTTGGAGTCAGAGAACTTGGGTTTGAATCCAGAGCTTTGCTACTTACTATTTGGGAAAAGTCATTTAATCTCCTGAAATTCTAGCTTCCTCATTTGTAAAATGAGGGATGGGAATGAACCAGATGATCTCTCAGGCACCTTCCAACTCAAAATCCTATGATCCCACACTAGGCTGAATATGGTGGAAAGGACACAGCAAAGGAATAGTACTTACTGACTTAAAGAAACAATAAATATCCAGACCCCAGTTTAGTGAAGTCACTCAAGAGTAGAAGAGAAAGAAAGACAGTTGGGAGGAGTGTAGATTGGAGGGAGTAGGACGTGAATAGTCAATAAATATCTAGCTTAGTCAAGTTAAGAGAGCTGGGAATTTGCTAGAGGCTCTCTACTCTTGTATCGCTATACCTTATTTAGGAGTGCTTTAGAATTTACTGAGCACTTTCACCTCATTTGATACTCCCAACCACCCTGTAAAGGACCCCAGGGGACAGGCATCACCACTATCAGTTACTACAATTAGAGGATATCCTACAGGAATCCCCCCAATCTCACCAAGACCCAGGTGGCTCTCCCTCCTCAGCCCCACCATCACCTTGAGTCAGCCTGCCAGACAGCTAACTCTTCAAAAACAATCAACATGGGACAACATTTTATGTTGATTGCAGGGAAACCAAAGATTAAAGTTTAATTTCAGCAGAATTACCCTAGTGATGATAGTCAGACAGCTGCTCTCTACTTGTGACTAAAACCTGTTCGGGCCAGTGGCAAATGATGGCTGCAATCCCAGGAAGAGACTTCTCCTTTGGGGGTGATATTTAATCAAAGGTCCCTCCCTATCCTTCTCCTTATCCTATCATCAGGGTCTTACTTCCTGACTTACTTTACTCAACAGAAAAGTCAATTTTGATCTAGGAAGAACACAACTAAATGATAAGTTTCAGAGAGGCACTTGGGAAATAATGTGGCAGAAAATACAGGTGTATGGAGACACATGGGGAAAATGCCCTAGAGATGATAATGACAGAAGAGATAGAAACCATCTAATGGGGTAACCAAGCAACCAAGTGACAGAAACAATAACTAGACTTATATGTAAAGACAAAAACCTTGATTCCTTTTTAAAACTCACCTAAAACAGTAAGCCCAGTGACCCCAATGTTCCTGCCACCTCTGTCTGGGAGGTTATTGACTAAGCACTGGTATGTGCCTGTGTCCATCAGCTGCGTGTTATTGATGAAGATTGAGACATTAGTAGCTGGCATGGTGCCTGTAAATCCTACCCTACCATGGAACCGTGGGGCACCATCAAACGTCTGTCCACCCTGATACAGAATGACCTGCAATAAAAGAGAAAGAGAGAGAGAGAGATAAATTAAATTTGCAACTGAACCTTCTCCTAGACTATGACAGAAGCTGCTTGGGTGACTGTAGGTATTAGTACATATTAGAGACAATCCCTCAGAGTCAGATAACAAAGCAATGATCACAAATTCTGTTATTTGGCTCCTTTACGCCAATGGTTCTCACAAACTTTTTGGTCTCAGGACTCCTTTACACTCTTAAAAATTATTGAGTTTGGATATGGCCAATGTGGAAATTTATTTTGCATGACTATCTATCTATGTTTATAATGAGGGTTTTGTTATTCTTTCTTTTTCAACTAGGGGGAGAATAGAGAGAGAAGGAGGGAGGATAGATATTTACTAACTGAAAAAAATAAAATTAAATCTCAAAAAAATATTGAGGAATCCAAAAAGCTTTTATGTGGAATATACATATATCAATCTTCACTATATTAGAAATGAAAACTAAATTTTAAAAAATATTTATTAAATCATTTAAGAAAATAGTAAACCCATTACATGTTAACATAAATCACATATTTTTATAAAAAATAACTTCATTTTCTAAAACAAAAAAAGGAAGAAGAGTGACTCTGTTTTACATAGTTTTACAAACTTCTTTTTTTGCCTGACTTAATAGAGGACAGCTGGAGTCTCATATCTGCTTCTGCATTCAATCCTGTTTTGGTATTTTTTTTGTTTGAAGCATATGAAGAAAATCTGGCCTCAAGCAAATATATAGTTGGAAAAGGGCAGAGCATTTTAATAGACAAATATTATCTTAATATTATTATGAGAATGGTTTGACCTCAAGGAACACTTTAAAGGGTTTTGGGGACTCCCCAAGTCCTCAGAACACCCTTTTGAGAATCACTGCTCCAGGCTCTAAACACTCATCTGTCAAATGGAGATGATAACTTTCTTCTGCCAACTCCACAAGTAAAGAGATAATATCTATATGTTTACCTTGAGTATAGTTTCTAAAAATGTTTTTAACAGCAGAAAATCAACGCTACCCTTCCCATGATTATTGGGTCACAGAATCATGACTGTAGTTAAGAGATTGAATACTGACTAATATTCACAGCAAGGAAGAACAATTAATAAATTTATGACTTCTGTCTAGTTCTAATTTTATTACCAAAAATAACTGTTCCAGTAATAGGTCTTTAACAAATGACAGTCGTTTATACTTCATAAGCATGCCTGAACTTCATAGCACAAAGATAGGTTCATCAAATACTTTCATGTGTTAACACGTCTAAGTGAGATAAAAGATCTTATTAAATGCAATAATTATTTTTAAGTACAGAATTGTATACAAAAGCACAATTCATTAATCTAACACTTTTTTTTCACTGCAATGAACATTAACTAGTATGGATCTTTAGTTAAAAGTAGATACATCTAGCAGTAATAATGAGCATTAGTAACCTGAGCAAGTAAAATATTAATTTAGTGAGTCATAGTTTCAATTTTTACTTGCATATGCTTTTTTTTAAAGAGACTGTCATTTCTTTCAGACCTTAATTCTAGCTAATTTTCTTGAGTGCTCTAATGTACTTTTGAACACTTTGGAAGAAATCTGTTGAGTAAATTTAAGTGGTATTATTATTACATTATTTCTTTATTACTACTGATATGACTAGCAATCTTTCACTAAAGTCTGACTGATACCACATTCTGGTTTGGGAATGATGCTGTTATCTTGAAGGTCTGTCTATACCCATGGAGAATAAGCTCTGGCAAGATCCCACAAAGCTGGACTAGTTTTGAGTACAAGGCTGGCAAATGACTATAGGTCTGTTGCCCAAAAACCAGTGTAGCCAAAGACAGAATGGTTTATCACCAAAGGGTTGGAAAACAAAACTTTTTCAGCCACAGTAACTCACAAATAACATGAGAGGATTTCAATCCACATCAGTGGAAGGTATGACCCACAGCAATGAAATCATAGTTCCTTATGTATCACACTCATAACCTGTCTAGTTTCATTAACCAACTCCTTGAAAACAGATGTTAAAGTGACATAACATAAGTTAGGGGACGGGGGCAGAGCAGGTGAAGACAGCAGGGAGGGCTGTGGTTCAGGGAGGGAGGCAATTGCCTCCAAAACTGAAATGTTATAAATGTTACAAATAGACAACAAGTCAAAAAACACTACAGTGATGTTACCATAATGTTAAGTGAAGTTTGATTATAACTTATTAACAACATTATTGAGGAAGAACATTAGTCGAGGGCTACATTATTTAGAGCATGCCTGTATTAAAATACAAAGGTCTCTTATTAATCAGTGCTTACTGCCCCATCTTTACTAAATACTTTATTTTTTCTTCAGTTCTCATGGTTGTTACCAATTCACATGAGATATGAGCAGTAAAAACTGCAGAAAGGGCCCTTTTACCCTTGGCTAATTTCAAAGTTGATATCCAGGAGACTGGGTCTATTCCTCCGGCACACACACACATACACACACACACACACACACACACACACACACACACACACACGTGCAATGCTCAGAGCTGCTTAAACAGGAATTTCCATGAATGTCACTTGTATCAAATTGGATAGTTTACTAGCTCTTGCTAAATGTCTAACAGATAAGAGGTGATCCTGGTCAGACACAAAAATATTATTACACTGAAAACAGTACCTGTTCAGGCTGGTTGGCATTAGAGAGTGGGATGACCATCCAAATGACATTAAGGTTAATTAGGGCAGCACTCGTGGTGAATGTACAAGGCAGCACTGCTGTCTGGCCACGAGCTACTTGTATACTTCCTGGGTTCTCTGAGACATCTAGAGATGATGCTATCCCTACAAAACAAGAAACACAAGAATCAGGTGCTTGGCTCTCTTCTGTCAACTTCAAAAATAATTTCATTAACAACGTAATAGAGACAATGACAAAAGACAGAGAAGATAACTTTAATTACATGAAACTGAAAAAGTTTTTACACAAATAAAATTAACATACCTGAAGGGAAGTGATCAACAGGATTTGGAAAAGTATTTGCATTACATTTGTTACATACAAATAAGGGTTTGACATCCAAGATGTATAGACAGCTAACAGAAAGCTATAAGACTAAATGCTATTCCTTAATAGATTAGTAGTCAAAGGAAATGATCAAGCAGTTCTCAAAAGACGTATCACAAGCTATTAGCAGCCATATGCTCCAAAGTACTAATAACGGAAGAAATGTTAGTCAAAACTACTCTGAGATTTCACCTCCTACTCTCAGCTAACTGACAAAGATAACAAAAGACAAGAATGGTCACTGTTGGAGGTGTTATGGGAAGACAGGCACACTAATGGACTGCAGTGGTGGAACTGTGGATCAGAATAACCATTCTGGAAAGCAATTTGGAATTATACAAATAAAGCAATTAAAATGTCCATACCCTTTGACCCAGAGATCTCACTTTGAGGCATATACTCCAAGAAGGTTTCTGACAAAAAGAGGCTCCACATACACAAATATATTTATAGCAATGCTTTTCATGGTAGAAAAATCTGAAAACAAAAGGAATTCCCACTGATTGTGGAAGAGCTAAACAAATTGTGGTATGTGAATGTACTGGAAGAAATAACAAACACAATGAATTCAGAGAAGCATGGAAAAAGCCTTATATGAACTGATGCAGAGTAAAGCAGACCCAAGAAAATAACATACACAAAATAACTACAGCCACCACAAAACAAGTAAAACTAAATGTTGTGAAATTATACAAAGTATAAGCTTGGCCCCAAAGAAAAGATATAAGAAGACAATGGCATTTTGCATAAATGGGATCCATAGGTGTGGCTATAGCATACATATAATGCTAGATTTTTTTTTTAATGTGTTGACTGATCTTATTAAAATTTCTTTTTTTCTTTTAAAAACAAAATTTTTGTTATAAGGAATGAATCTCCAGGAGGAAATGTGGTAGAATACAGGGAGAAATATAGGCAATGCGAAAACTAAAGACATTAAAAAATAAAAAAATGTGAATGGTCTGAATGACAGCCCTACTAAGCCACTGCAGACTCAAGGCACAAAATAATAATGAAAACTTTGAAAGGTTATTAAATCATCTTCTAGAAACAAGCCATCTCAATCTGTCTGTGAGGACTAAATTTGGCCCTACTCTCTCTTAACATAAAAGCTTCTATTTCAGAAGTTAGGACCAGTTGCCTTACTGCTTCATCAAGTGAAATATTAAGTGTTTTTATGCAGTCAAATTGGGGAGGGAGGGAGGAAGAAAAGTATAACACTAAGTGCAAGACTAAAACAAAATAAAATGTTGGAATATCTAAGACCATAAAGTTACAGCATATCCAGTTGACCCTCTTTTTTTCTCCCTCTACAGATATTATCTCATTTGTTGATCTCATCAGTCACTTAAGTCAATGAACATTCATTAAGCACCTACTATGTCAGGAACTGTCCTAAGTGCTGGGGATACAAGCATGACAAAGACAGACAATCCTTGCCCTCAAGAAGCTTACATTCTAACAAGGGAACATAATACACAAAAGGAAACTGAAAAGGAGGGAGTGGGATGGAAACAAATGGAGAAGTCCAAAGAGTGCAACCAGGTGGAAAAGCTCCCATGGATTCAATTGATCTCTATACAAATGACTCTAAGATGTTTTTCTAGCCCTAATCTCTGTCTCCTGCCCTCTACAGTATCAAATCACAAACTGCCTATTACATATTCCACACTGGATGATGGGTATACTTCTTAAACTCAACATGTCCAGAACAAATCCTTCCCCCCTCCCCATATCCCAAACACTACCCACTTTTGGACTGACTTATTACTTTCCAGGGCACCACTATCCTCCCAGTCACCCAGGCTTGCAACCTAGGTGTCATCCTCAACCCTTCCAGATCCACTCTATTGCCAAGTCCTACTGTTTCTACTTTTACAACATCTCTCACATACACCCACTCCTGCCCTCTGACAATGACACCACCCTGGTGCTAGCTCTCATCATGTCAAGCCCAGACTTTCAAAATGTCCTGGATTCCTCCATTCTAGTCTGTCCTCTACTCAGCTGCCAAAAGAGATCTTCCTAAAGTTCCGGTTTGACTATGTCATACACACACACACACACACACACACACACACACACACACACACACACACACACCCCTACCCCTATTAAATAACTCCCAGTTACTTCCAGGATCAAATATTAAAATCTTGTTTGGCTTCTGAAACCCTTCACAATCTTGCTGCTTCTTATCTTTGCAGTTTTCTTACAATTTACTCTCTTTTACCTACTCTATCATATCCAGCCACAGTGGTCTTCTTACTGTTTCTCAAACAGGATACTCCATTTCTTAACTCTTTGCCTTTTCATTGACTGTCCTCCAAGCCCTGAATGCTTTCTTTCTCTCCTCACCTCTGCCTCCTGGCTTCCCTGGCTTCCTTTAGCTC